ATATTGCCTATTTGCCTATTCTGGCACCTAATTTCTACAAATGATTTTAAAATCTGGCTTGTCAATCCCCATTAAACAGACCTATTAGGTTCTCATTTGTGATTGCAGGGAGTTAATACATTATTTTGAGGAGAAATAATTTTTTATAACATTAATTCTTCTGGCCCTGGAAACTGCTATGTTATGCTTTTTATTCACTCTTCTTATTCACCTTTAAGAATGTTTCATAGTTTTACCAATTGCAGTCATTTCTAAATATAAAATATCAACTACAAATCCTTAAAGAGGTACATATCTGAATATTCTGAAATTGAAGAGAAAACTGGACAAAAATCACAATAAACCACATTTAAAATAAGAATAAATAGGAAGAAAAGGGCTAAAGTTGTAGGGGAAGTGGGAAGGGGAGGGGAAAGGAAATAAGGGAAAAGAAAAAATGTGAGAAAACAAAATAACGGAAACAAAGATTTGTAAATAGGGAAGGGTGGAGGAGGCGAAGGGAGGGCAGGAGTATGGGGATAAAACAAGAACCAAGAGCCTTCATGTAAAGGTACAAGACCCCGATGATGAATGTAACTGTATTGTATGCCTAAAATGTACCAATAAACTCAATGAGAAAAAAAAGAAGGAACAGACTTGACAGAACTATTTTAAAGGCAAAAATATCACTAAAGTAGCCATTACATCTTAGTAATAAATAGCAATGTAACAAGGGAGAAAGCACAACTAGACGAGTTACAATTTTCTAGAGAATAATTTTATTTACTTGCTTGTGAGCAAGATTATGTAGTGCAACTATAACTACCTCTATTCTTGTACAACTGCAAGTCTTAAAGCTACTTGGGTGCCTTTGCTTACATTTGGGATTTTATTATAAGTCCCATGTGATTTTTACAATAATCAATGCTCTGCAACTTACCTTTACTTTGTATTAAAAAGCTGACATTTTCTCTTCCAACTACAACTTCTTCTTTTTTTACATCAATTTGTTCAGTGGAGGAGAAATACTTTTTCTGGGAATTCCTCAAAACCCAAACATGTAAAATAAAATAAAACCTCAAATTAACCAACACATAAAATATTCACCAGTTTATCTAACTCCAAAACATAAGGATACTCCCTCTCCACAAGTACTCCCATGCTCTTGGGCTTGGAATCCTATCTCTGGTAGAATCAGTGATGATGGCATTTACTTTTGGAATGTGAGGAAACTGCTGACTATAACCCAAGTGATTATGGCTTAATCTCATATCCCTGCTGGTGAACACATTGGTGAACTAAGTGCAACCATCTTCAGTAACTATCATACTTATCCATGAACTGTCTCCATTTTTTTATATACCAATACAAATTTTAAAATATGATACACTATTGCTTGTGTACTGACAATATCTGATGATAATTTCACTTGGCTTTAGAACAGTCATGATAAATTTTTCTTTTTGGTACAGGGGATCGAACTCAGGACCTTGTTCTTTTGAGGCACCAAATCTGTATGGGAAAATTGTATTTATATCTTCTTTTGCTGAGATTTTTAATTCACAAAGTTAGAAATTCAGTCTACAATTTAGATTTTTATTGTCTTTAACTCTGAGGTTTTACTTCCCAGGAAGTGCTGAAACTTCCCCACTGCTGATTGATAATTCTAAACTTTAGGGCTTTTAAGATGTCATGTCAAGTTTAAAAATAAAATTTTAAATATTTTTGGACAGCCCCATCTCTTATCACAGAAAAGAAGAAAGCACATCTCTTGCCATATTCTAGCTATTTAGGTTACAGGAACTGCTGCCCTATGACACAGCTCTTTCTATAAGTAACTGACAGAAAAACTTATTTACATTAGGGACTCTTCTTTAAAAGAGACCACCTTTTTATCCAGATGCCATAAAAGCAGGACTAGGCTGAGCCAAAATTATTCTGTAATCACTCATAAAGGGTTTTTTGTTGCTGTTGTTCTTTGTTTTTTGTTTTGTGAAACATGGATTTCTGTTGGCTGGATCCAATGCTTAGCCTTTAAGATTGTTTCAGGAAGACATTATGACAAGTTTATGGATTTGAGTTTTGTGAGTCCTGCGGGCAGGAAGTCAGTGATTTGTGACTTTGAAACTGGCACTTAGTCTGTGGAAGGAACTTGCAAGTCTTTGACAACTATTTGGGTTGTATCCCATATCTTAGCATAGTTAACAAAATCTCATGGGTAATGTGTACCTCTGATATTGATTTAGGGTGTCCAAATATCAATTACTAAAGTACATTTAATGATGCAATCATAAAAAATTGTAGATACTTAGTTTTCTAGAAAAGCAGCGTTTTTGAGGAAGCCTTACTTTATGGCCCTGGGGATAGCAAATAGTTCTCACATGAGAGAGCCTCCTTTTATCTGTCTGAAGTCTCACAAAGCAGCATCAACCAGTGACGACTGGATTAGACTAAACTGTAGCAAAAAGAAAAGGGATCAAATAAAAAGTTTACTTTGGTAGTAGAAAGTAGGCTAACAGTGAGAATGGAGACAAGATACAAGGAGAAAAATAAAATAAGACAGAAGGGATCAGAAACATAAAACATAGTTTGGAGGATCAAAACAAAACCAGGAAATACTATGATAACATATACCAGATATGTTATCTCTAGTTTTTTCTGTTGTATAAGAAGGGGGAATGTGTGTGGGAGGGTATTTATATAATAAACATTATTTGTGTACCCCAGTAATCCTAGCTTTGTGGGCCTGAGTTGCATAAGGAATGCTCCATATTGTTTTCTAAGCTGCTATTGCTGCCCTATTTGTTCAAAGCAACCAAAAGTGATCACGTGGATTGAAAATTGAGTTCTGCACCAACAGCCTCAGTAAGAGTATTACCTCTGGAGTCAGAGATCTGTGGAAGCTCCTGTGAAAGAATTAAATGTGTTAAACCATTTCATGTATTATTCAAGAGAACATACGGATGTCTAGCTAAGAATGGTCACGTGACCTTAAGAAATCTTTGTAATTATGTTTGTGGTGAGACAACTTGGCATAGCTGTCAAGGATTTGAGTCAGGCCATGGCTGGAACCACAGGTGGATACATAAATAACCTTTTACATTATTTCTTTGTAGTGGCTTAACATGAGATTCTTATAATGTGGAGATACAATTTTTAATTATAAGCATTATGGCTACCAAAGAGGGACCCAGATTTTCAAAATGTGGTCTTAAATTTAAAATGATGCAACTTTGTGCAAGGCCCTGTGTTTAAATCCTAGTTGCAAAGATTATTTAAATGGAAAAAATGATATGACTACCAAGGAGAAAGCAAAATAAATTAATCCTTCAAGGACTCAACATGTTTTTTGCAATGTGAAAATGATAAGATTCTTAGCTTCTGTCATGGGAATCATGGTGCATTTAACCCTGCAGTCCATCTGTCTTGACTGGAGTCTAAGAATGACTGCTATGACAACTTAGAAGATATAGTAGTAAAACTGTGAGAGTTAGGCAATTGTCTGGAATCTCAGGTAGACACCTGAATAGCTCCTTGTGTGATTTTTTACATAGTGGTTTAATGCATGAGATTCTGAAAATGAGAAATTGTGACTGTTAATTACAAACTCTATAGCTACAGTATATTCAACAATTGAATTGTACCAAGCTTTCCTAAATGAACACATTATTAATAAAATATGGCTTTTAATTTAAAATGTTATAGCTGCCAAAAAAGAAACAAAATTAATTATCCTTCAAGATTTCAATGTGTGTGTGTGTGTGAGTGTGTGTGTGTGTGTGTGTGTGTGTGTGTGTGTGTGTGTGCGCGTGT